TATTCACTTTTCTCAAAAATACACCACATTACAGAGGTAAAATTGCAATAACCGGACCTCCTTCTCTTTGTTTACAGATGTGACGCAAAAAGGAAAGACACGGAATTTATATTTACCGCAAAATCTGACGCGTCATTATTATAAAGGTACCACTGGGGAAATTCAAGGAAAGATTTGAACACTGATTTTTTTTTTAAATGCATTTCTTAATAATTGATTTTTGTTCATTTAAAAAAATGCAGCTTTAAAGTCAACAATGTAATGCCGAAACACTTCTGTAAAAATGTATTGCTGTGAATCAGGATATATAAAAATATAAACAGTAGAGAGGGATTTGATATATGGGGAATTGATCGGATGGTGGTGGTCTATAAATGACAGAGAAATATTAGACGGCTAGGATTGTTTTCAAAGGCAAAGCAAGTTTTTACATTTTGATGGTTGGAATAACATGCACCAATGAATTGTGCACATGAAGACCAGGTACATGCGCTGAGAATGGAAATAAGTCAGTGTCAGTTTCATCATGACTGGGCTAATTTGATACTGCTCTCAGCTACCATTTTTGAGTCATTTTGGATGAAAGCCGCTGCTAAATGACTAATTGTAAATGTGGTAACAAAAGTGCATTACTCTGAGTTCCATTTAACACATTTTACCACATTTTATCAATCCACAGTTCTGCCAGTTTTGCCCAGTTTTTGCTATATCTTTAACACCAAGCATTTCTGCAGACTCTGTTGATCTTCTCCTTGATTCCTTTAACTCAAAAGTTAAGAATGTTATTGATGACATTGCTCCTTTGCTCAGCTACCATTTTTGAGTCATTTTGGATGAAAGCCGCTGCTAAATGACTAATTGTAAATGTGGTAACAAAAGTGCATTACTCTGAGTTCCATTTAACACATTTTACCACATTTTATCAATCCACAGTTCTGCCAGTTTTGCCCCAAAATCAGTGCAGATTTAATCTGTGCCTGGCCATTAGTCTCATTTGCTGCGTTTTCAACAGTTCTTATCAGTTTGCTGAGTCACCCTTGAGAAAATCCCTTTCCTTCTTTACGGAGCTAAAGCATAACTAAAATTCCTTCCTTAATTTCCATGTTAACACCCGCATGCAGACTAGAAGTGATACAGCCCTCCTGTGTCTGTGATCCACGGGCGGTCTTTCAGAAGAGGTCATCCATGTTGTGCATAACCAGCAAACATTAGTTGTGGCCAACTAATTATGTGATAAAATGTGGGTTTAAGAACACACTGTACAGTGCTCAGCACAGATTTGGAGCTCAGCACACTGAAAGACGTTATTAAGAGCGGAAGAACAAAATGAAAGCACATTGTGAAATACAGGATTCATATAGTTATAAGAAGCCAGGATTGTCTAGACCTTGTTAAGCTCTTGAGAAACCCCCTAAAACTATGTGTGTGGGTCACTTTTACTACTTTACAGGCCTAAAGCGAAGCTTACCTGAGTGGCTGTTGACTTTGCTAAGTGGGGAAATGACAGCTGGGCTCTAGTTAAGACATGCGCTGTGGAAAAGAATGAGTTTGAAATGTGTATATGTTTGTATGAGACAGTTACAGGAGGAAATGTGAGTGAACACAAAAGATCCAGGTGGAAAAAGGCAATGATGGACCAAAGGAGAGAAAGCAGGAATGCTTTTTTCCCTATGGATTTTCCCTGGATTACTGGAAGATCCCCCTTTATCCAGAAAAAAGACAAATACACAATATTACCAGTGCAAACAAGAGATGGGAGTTTCCTCAAAATTCTCTGTGCCAAGAAAAGCTTAGGGCATCCTCTACCCTACTATAAACAGAGCAAGACTGGTCAGGAAGAATTGGGAGAATTAGGAACATCAAGAACTCTAAATGTACCTGAATCTGTCACAAACATCACTCAAACTTAAAACCAGGCTCCAGTGAATATCTGCCTGTAGCATGATTCCATGTGTACTTGCCTTGCCTTGCCTTGCCTTGCCTTGCCTGTGTCTGTGATCCACGGGCGGTCTTTCAGAAGAGGTCATCCATGTTGTGCATAACCAGCAAACATTAGTTGTGGCCAACTAATTATGTGATAAAATGTGGGTTTAAGAACACACTGTACAGTGCTCAGCACAGATTTGGAGCTCAGCACACTGAAAGACGTTATTAAGAGCGGAAGAACAAAATGAAAGCACATTGTGAAATACAGGATTCATATAGTTATAAGAAGCCAGGATTGTCTAGACCTTGTTAAGCTCTTGAGAAACCCCCTAAAACTATGTGTGTGGGTCACTTTTACTACTTTACAGGCCTAAAGCGAAGCTTACCTGAGTGGCTGTTGACTTTGCTAAGTGGGGAAATGACAGCTGGGCTCTAGTTAAGACATGCGCTGTGGAAAAGAATGAGTTTGAAATGTGTATATGTTTGTATGAGACAGTTACAGGAGGAAATGTGAGTGAACACAAAAGATCCAGGTGGAAAAAGGCAATGATGGACCAAAGGAGAGAAAGCAGGAATGCTTTTTTCCCTATGGATTTTCCCTGGATTACTGGAAGATCCCCCTTTATCCAGAAAAAAGACAAATACACAATATTACCAGTGCAAACAAGAGATGGGAGTTTCCTCAAAATTCTCTGTGCCAAGAAAAGCTTAGGGCATCCTCTACCCTACTATAAACAGAGCAAGACTGGTCAGGAAGAATTGGGAGAATTAGGAACATCAAGAACTCTAAATGTACCTGAATCTGTCACAAACATCACTCAAACTTAAAACCAGGCTCCAGTGAATATCTGCATGTAGCATGATTCCATGTGTATGATGTGACGTTGTCAATTAGGATACAATCTAGTTTTTCTAGAAACATAAGGACCAGATACATTTTAAAATTAGAAAATCTCCAATACATTACATGAATCATATGCTTTATAATGCTTTCATTTTTGAATTCTTTCACTATGAAAAAGAGCACTGTGAAGATTCTGCCTAACATTGAGCTCCACAAAAGAAACAGTCATACAGGATTAACATTTGAGTAAATTGTGACAGAACTGACATTTTGTGTCACAACGACAATGTTTTTGTTAAATATGTAGGTAATAATTGTGTACAACATACCAATGTTCCTGAAATCCTGACTACTCCTGGCCACACCATAAAAAGGAAATTTGTACTACTGTTCCTACAGTCATACAGTGATTCACATAGGATACACTGACTATCCAAATGTCTGTGAGAAGAAGCCTGGCTATTTCTGGATGTGTCACAACACTGGTCAGTTTCTGTATGCCAATATGCTTCCTTTTTCTCCTACATTTGGAGCTGAGTCACAGGTGTTCTAGACGGATGACTGCAGTAAATGACCATGAAGAATCACCACTTGAATCACAGACAAATCACATAAAACAAGTTATATGACTTCCCTTACAAGAGTCTAGAACAAAACCGTATAAAAAAAAAAATTGTGCAAAATGATCTGTCCTGTCCAAAAACTTTGACTGAAAGGAGTTAAAACCACTTCAAGCCTGTCTCGGGTAACAAATTGGTGGTCAGTTGAAACGAAATTCTGCTTATTTCCAAAAATAACTGAAAATGTGGGTATCGTGTCAGTCAATGGCAAATATCCGTCAACTGACTGCAGAATCAAGAAAGACCACATTTATTAAAAACTTATAAAAGAGACTGACAGAGACAAATGAGCAAATGAAATGAACCCAGCCAACAACCAGAATGTCACAACTCACACAAAAGCATCCCTGGCAACTGATCCAACAATTGGCCCATAGCTGCAGTGAGCAGAGCCAGAAGAGTTTGTATTGTTATAATTAACTTAATTGGGTAACTCCTGGCCCTCGTAGAGGGACGTTCACATAAACAAGTGAATTTTGGACACGAATGCTCCCTCCATTAATGAGCTCTGTGTTTACTTAAGCAAACCACACAGAATCCCTGAGCATAAACAGACCCGTGGTTTGACACTGTGCTCAAGGTCACTATGAGCTTGATAGATGTCAGTTAAAAAAGTGTTGAAGGGCGATATCCAACAAAACCTTACAAAAAAAACTACTGAGGCAGCACCATCAGTCATCTGGTACAGATGAACATATCATGGTACTCCGAGGTAGGCTACTTTAATTACCACGATATATGAGCAAAATATGATTTATGATATTTTTTCTTAGTGAGCTCAAAGAGACATGACAGTGCTTGACAATACAATGTGCACTCCAACGAAAGTTCTTGGTTATAACACTAAAATTAAAATGCCTCAGTCCTACAAGCTACAGTAAACAATGTCACAGAAAAATCTAAATGAAATCAAACATTAGCACTCCAAGCTGCAGAATAAAAATAAACATTTTGGAATGATTGCCTGTACATTTAAACTATTAGGATAAATATAGAAGAATGTATTCATATAAAATAATTTCATGTGCATGCAAAAGTTTTACAAAGGCAAAGGCCATAACTTAAAAAATGTGTGATTAGATAACAAAATATAAAAGCAAGCATATTTTATTTAAAGAAAAACAAAAATATGTTTGTTCAGCTTTAAATAGTCAAAGCAGATATCCTGCTCAAAATAAAAGCTCAAAGTGAGCATTTGTTCACTAAAGTCACACACTAAATGTAATCACACTAGATAACAAACTACAGTTTTCTGAGCCATTTTGAACAACTTTTAGACTGTTTTTTTTTTAAGTGGCTGTATGAAGTCAGTTCTCAAGTTCACACAGGTGTTAGATGTCTTAACAGAGCAAACACAGGTGTAGTTCTTCACATTAACTATGAACATAAAAGTGCCCAAATACTATATCTCCATTTATTAAACAATATACAATATCTACTTTTTAATCATTTACTGTACATTTTTGTGAAATATTTGCTTGAAGAGTGCTTGTGCTATCATTTTTATAAAACGGTTTGTAGTGTGATCCGCATGGATACTGAGATCAGTGTGCAATATCGTTAACAAAATGGATGCAAGAGCAAAAAGGAAATGTAAAAGTTGATCTTACCTAAATTGACAAAACTCATGACCATGTCCGCGTCATGCAGGAACTCTGTGTCATGAAGTGAAGCTAAAGCGGGTCGTGTGGTGGTGAACAGTGATCTGTACTGAGCCACGTCGCTCTTCTCTTTAGTGGACATGCTGTTGTACAGATCCAGCATGAAGAGGGGTGCTGAATTATATTTGCCGCTGTTCAGATGCGGTCTGGGTCTGTGGTTCAGTCCCAGTATGGACAGGATCTCTTTCTGCATCTCTCTCTTCTCCCGAGTCCGTAACATCCGATGCATGAAGTTGGGCTGAAGCTCAGATCCGTCCAGTACAGAACTACCACCTGCCAAATAAACGCTCCACAAGAAGCCCAGCAGAGCAAACCAGACGCGTGTCATCTTTACATCCAGTCTGTGATGATGATGAGGGTGTATTCACTTCTAAATATAAAATCACTTGGAAGCTAGTGTTTTTCCCTCTACTCTTCTGCTTCACGCCATAGGATCTTACAACTAGGTTCTTCAGTGGTTCTTAGGTTCAGCGAAGAACCCTCTTCTTATTAAGGACCATTTTGACGGCATGGTTCCCTGAAAGGTTCATGATTACATTATGGAATCTTCAAATCTGTGCTGGTTTCTGGGTTCTTTAAAGCACTAGTGCATAGATGGTTTTCTGAAGAACTACAGAATAAAAAAAAAAGTTATTGAAAAGGTTATTCTATGGCATCAGGTTGTAAAAACCCGTTGGGTTGTAACTGCCTCTGCAAAACAATATTATCCTGTGCAAAACAAATGCAGTTGTTGTTCAGGTTGTTTTTCCAATTCGCAAAATCTCCATCAATTCTTCGGCGTGATGCTTCGTTCCAGGCAGAAGACCGATTGAAACTTCTCTGTGTCCCATCAAAAGTAGGCTACCTGTTAAGTTTAGTGTATGTATCACAACTATAAATAAAGAAAAAAAATATATATCCGTCACTTTTCCAAACAATTATTTCCTTACGATCTATATATATCTTCTCCGTTCAGTTCTTTGATTTGACATCAGTCTCTGATTCCTACAGAGTGTGTTTGTAGAGTGGACAGCGTCTGTCTCAGAGGCTTTTAAATAAGGGGGCTGAAGCAGGTAGACGCGTCTCGAGCCCGCCCCAGTGCTCGCGTCCAGAGGTGGAGCTTTACAAGACAGTTTTAACATCCTCAAACTCGTCTTTACGTACACGTCTACGTGTCTTCTTTGTAAATGTAGAATTGTAAATTCAGCTTTCATGTCAGGTGTCTACAGTTTGCGTACGAGCGACGCGACGCGGTCGTATTCAACTTAAAATAGCGCGTCGAAGATAATGTCATACAGTATACAACTTCATTCATTGTAAGTGCTGCAGTTGCGTTTCATGTTCGTCTATTAAAACGAAAGCGTTCTAGTTTTGTCGCGGAGGCGTTCAAATGTTACTTTTATTTTAATGTCGTCTTAAAATCAGCTACAGGACGCAACTACAGAACACGTCAGAACGCATCACCCACGTGTACAACAGAACGCGAACTATGTGTAAGACACTTTACTGTCCGTATTGTAGCTTAATGCATTGATTGGAATGTAGACAGTTAGACTAACAAAAGCGTTCTAGTTTTGTTGCTTGAAGACGCCTACACCATGGCATGCAGGCCAATAAACCGAAATTCGCCTGTGAAAGAATACCATCAATTAAATAAGAATTGTAGGTAATTATCCAAGTGATTACAGCTTACTTCTTTCTATAAATTTCACCACAACATCGTAAATGAACTTACGCTATGTAATCGAGTCATTTTATGGCCGAAGCGTGACCCCTAACGACACAGAAAATAAGCGCAACAAAAAATATATATATTGTAAATGTAAATATATTTTTTCTGAAAAATGTGGATGTTTGACAAGTCACTCAACCTGTAGACTGAACCTGACTGTATTGTTTTATCTTGTGTAAAATCTTGATCACCTGTTTTTCTCCAGTATTTTTAGAGGAGTTCTCTGATGTTTGAGATTACACACATCAGACAGATAGACAGCAAACTGATGTTTGCGGTCAGGGTCAGGTGCAATGCTTTAAAGACACTCACTGAATTTACTATAATAAGAGAGACAGCTTATGTGTTTATGTTATGGAGACTGATTTCAGAAAACACACACACACACACACACACACACACAAATTCACATGCTATGTTGTGTCTGGTGAGATCTAGATTGATAAAATGGCCATGTGTTGTTATCTCTAAGTGGCTAATCTTATCTAGCGGGCCAGAAAAGCATGCATCAAAGCGACGCAAACCAATGCCAGCCACCCACTTCCCGTCCCTTCATCAGTCCAATCACTGATAGCCCATCACTCAAACACACACACACACACACACACATGATGATGAGTTTCCATGTTTTACGGGGACATGCCATAGACATAATGATTTTTATACTATACAAGCTGTATTTTCTATCCCCATACCCTAAACCCCTCACACAAAATTTCAGCATTTATAGATTTAGAAAAAAAAAAAAAAAATTATTCTGTATGATTTATAAGCTGTTTTCCTAATGGGGACCAAAAAATGCCCCCACAAGGTCAGAAATTAGGTCACCATCTTTGCGGGAACAGTTGGTCCTCATAGCGGGGGGATACCAGGTACACACACTTTTGCAAAATTTAAATTGAACAAATATATAATATAATTTTTCAGAAGCTGGATAGACTTCAATTTCTATTGAAGGCACCATAAAAGTAGTTAATGTGATTTGTGCACTATATTCAAAATATTTTGAAATAATAAGATACACCAGATATAGTTATACTATATAAACAAAATGTTGAAATGAATAACATTTCTGGATTCAATATAAATTGTTCAATGAACATTTTTATTCTTCTTAATAAATAAATAAATAAATAAAGTTAAAATACTTACTGTTTCAATAATATATAGGCATAATATGTAAACACTATGCTTGTTAGTGTGACGGTGTGAAAAATAGCTTCTCTGTATAAATTTATATAAACTTTTAAAACTTCACTGCCACAAGAATGAGTGTAAACTCATGTGTAAAAATGATAAGAACAACTTATATTAAATATGTTTTACATTGCTATTACTTCTTCCAAAAAATGGTTCCATATGCTTGTAAGTGCCTCAACATAACCCTTTTGTGTGTGTGTGTGTGTGTGATAATCAACATAACGCCACAAATGTTGTTGTTTTAACTTTTAATGTTTGAAAATAACCTGTATTATTCCCTTACATATTGGATCACTATGAACTGCCCTTTTGTGGAAAAGCACTTTGGATATTTTTTTAAGCCTCAACATAACCCTTTTGTGTGTGTGTGTGTGTGTGATAATCAACATAACGCCACAAATGTTGTTGTTTTAACTTTTAATGTTTGAAAATAACCTGTATTATTCCCTTACATATTTGATCACTATGAACTGCCCTTTTGTTGAAAAGCACTTTGGATATTTTTTTAAGAATCTAAAAAAAAAAAAAAAGACCATAGAGGTTTGGAGGAACATGAGGGTAAATAATAAAAGTAATAATACTAGAGTCAACTAGTCCTTTAAGACATAAACAATCTCAGAAAGTGAAAGGAAACAGACAGTGACAAGATAAAAGCTGAGCATTCCTCTGCAAATGCATTTCAAATGATAGCTGAAAGTGTTAAACACACACTTGCACACAGCCATAAGACAAAATGTGCATACAGCACGCCATTTCATACATTCCATTGCACCATCTGCAACAGCAAGATGCTGTGGTAGTTGTTTGTTTTCATGGTCACTTTAAAATAAATGGCTGTAACAAGTTGACTTGAAATGATCAAAAAGTGTCACATTCATTTCAGGGGGTACGATCACAGAAAGGATGAGAGGAAAGTGCAGCATTAAGGAATGCAAAAGTGCAGCATTCATGTTTGAACTCATCCATTCTTCAAGGGTCAGTTGCTAATCGGCTGTCAGTAGCGTGATGAATGGCCTGTGCGTGAGTCTGTGTGGGGTCGGTTAACAGACTAACTTTCCTGTCATCATACTGTCTAGACAAAGCCTCACTTTAAAGACACATGCACTCCCACATATCTGTTCTTTTTTTATATATAGGAAGGATATGAAGGCAATGCATGTTTTTTTTTCCAATGTTTGCTTGACCCCTCTATTCCTGCAAATACAAATATTTTAAGAACACACTTTTGAGAGTTGGTAATCAAGTTTGCAGGTTTGAGCACTGTAAGGATAATTTCCATTATGCCCTTTATCAAGACACTGAACTCCAGGTTGCTCCTGGAGGACTGAGACTGTAGTACACTGATCAGCCACAACATTAAATCCACTGACAGGTTAAGTAAATAAACATTGATTATATTGTTACAGTGGCACCTATCAATGGGTGTGATTATACATTAGGCCACAAGTGAACAGTCAGTTCTTGAATTGTATGAGTTGGAAGCAGGAAAAATGGGTAAGCAAAATGATCTGAGTGACTTGGGCCAAAAAATGAAAGCTAGATGACTGGGTCAGAGCATTATCAAACCGGCAAGTCTTTTGGGGTGCTCCTGGTATGCAGTGGTTACTATTACCTATCAAAAGTAGTGCAAGGAAGGACAATTGGTGAACCAGTGTCAGGGTCATGGGTGCCCAAGGCTCACTGATGCACATGGGGAGCGAAGGCAAGCCTGTCTGGTCCGTTCACACAGAAGAGCCACTGTACCTCAAATTCCTGAAAAACCTATTGCTGGCCATAATACAAAAGCAGTCAGAACACACAGTGCATATTAATTTACTGCTTATGGGACTGCATAGCCATAGACTGGTCAGAGTGCCCATGGTGACCCCTGTCCACTGCCGAAAGTACCTACAATGGGCAAGTGAGCGACAGAACTGGACCATGGAGCACTGGAAGAAGGTTGCATGGTCTGATGAATCACGTTTCAGATCAGATGGATGGCCAGGAGCATGTGTGTTACTGAAGATGGCAAGAGGATGCAGTATGGGAAGGAAGCAGTGTAATGCTCTGGGCAATTTTCTGTTGGGAAACCTTGGGTCCTGGCATTCATGTGGATGTCACTTTGGCATGTACCACCTACCTAAAAATTGTTGCAGACCACATACACCCCTTCATGGCAATGGTGTTCCCTGATGGCAGTGGCCTCATTCAGCAGGATAATGCTCCATGACACACTGCAAAAATTGTTCAGGAATGGTTTGAGGAACATGACAAAGAGTTCAAGGTGTTGCCGTGGCCTAATCTGATTGAGCATCTGTAGGATGTGTTGGACCAACAAATCCGATCCATGGAGGCCAGGCCACACCTTGCAAGTTGAAAAACTTAAATGATCTGCTGCTAATATCTAGTTGCCAGATACTACAGGACACGTTCAGAGGTCTTGTGGAGTCCATGCCTTTCCGCATCAGAGCTGTTTTGGCAGCACGAGGTGTACCAATACAATATTGGGCGGGTGGTTTTAATGTTGTGGCTGATCAGTGAAAGTATACAGTACATAACAGCATCTGCAAAATAAACCACTCATGAACTGCATTTACAAACCTGCATGACAAATCCCCTGAAAAAAAACAAACTTCAGTATGATCTTTAATATATTTGATTAGCAAAAAAAAAAAAAATTGCTAATGGGAACTTGATCTAAGGCAAGTGCACATCTCTTCATGATATACAAGTTTTAAAATGGTCAAGTAATATTTAAATTGTCACAGCATACTGGTTTCATAACAATTACAGAATACTGACAACAAATCATTATTGTGTGTATTATTATGTGCACGTTTTATCTTAACCCAAATCAAAAACAGTCCAAAGACTCTAACCTGTGATACCCGTACCTGAAATTAACAGTAATATCAGCATTATTTAGTTACACACTGTCTCACGTCCGTTCATCTGGCCATTTACAGTTTACTCTTAGAGAACGTCCCACCTCTCCCAGCACCTAAGGTGAATTTTGTTGCTCCAGTGACTGCTTCAGCTACAATGACTGGCAGGCCATGGTCAAACTCATACTGCATGGACTGGGTGAAGGAGGAGGAGTCAAAGACAGCGTGGTAGGCGGAGTCACGGTCAGCACGGAGACAGAGCTGTGGAAATGCGCTGACCTGTTCAGCAAGTTCAAGAGCCACTTGAAGTGCTAAGACAAATACACACAGACTGACAGTTAGATGTGAAGAAACACTGAGTAGATGTGACACTCCTAAACAATTTTTTTTTCAGCTGACCATAATGTGTGACCTCCATATCATCACTCATTTCCTTCTGATATGAACTCATTTTGTCCTTCTGTGTAGCACATGAAAGCTCTGGCCTCCAGCTCTAGTCCACTCGAGTGACTTTGAAACTGAAGTGCTTACTTTAACAGTATTTCTAAACAGCTTTGTGCTCATCTCATCTAACCTCGCTGTACATATACAGTACAGCATCAAAAGATACACTGGCATGTTGTAGAAAAGGTAGACAGAGTTAGAGGGAATCACATCATTGCAAACCTGTACGACTTTCTTGTGTATAGATCACAAAATAGGCTAGATTTACTGCAGAATGTTCAACTTCACACTGCTCTTTTTCATAAAGTGTAAAAATATAGAATAGCAGAATACCACAAGCACACTCTAAAGTTTGTAATAATATAAAACATTTAATAATACATACAGCGATTATCTATATTCCAAAGCTTCTGAAGCAAAACAACAGGTTTGTTTGAGAAACAGACCTAAATTGAAATGAATTTCTCAAATTTAATTTGTGCTTTTGCATATTAAAACTTTCCACATTATGATTAGTCATGTGACAAGAACACCCACTAACACATGTTTCTAATTAACTATCAATGATATTATTTCAACACAGATAAAATGTATTTCAAGTGGTTTATGATCAACTGCTTCATCATGCTAAAGCAAGTTTCAGAGGGTACTGTATGTGTACCTTGGCCATCAGGCACCACTCTGTTTGCCAGTCCAAATGTTAAAGCCTCTTGCGCCTTCACCGGTCGTCCTGTGAGGATGAGATCTAGTGCTCGCGAGAGACCAATCAGCTGTGGCAATCTCACCGTACCCCCATCAATCAATGGCACACCTGTGTGAGACAAACAGAAAAAGGCTTATAGACACAGAGGAGCTGAGGATTAACTGGTAGGAGGTGAATTATGAATGAACACACACAGATATATACTACCGCTGTAGTTTGAGGTCAGATTTTTTATTTGAAAGATATTACTTTATTTATTATAAAATACTTTATTAGGCAAGGATGCATTAAATTGATCAAAATAAGAATAAAGATGTTTATGATGTCGTAAAAGTTATCTATATTTCCTGCATTGTACTGCTGTAGAATACCCATGCCATTTCAATGTACAATTTGTCACTGGCTTTTTGCGCACATGACAAATAAACTTGAAACTAAAAACTATAACTATAAATAAATGTTGTTCTGTCATGACAACTCTCAGAGGGATTGGCATGGTAATGTACATGACAATGTTAATGTATTTGGTCTTGGCGGAATAGATCTGCTATGCTGCTGCTGCTGCTGCGGCAGAGCAATTACCGAGACTTGCTACTGCCAATACATCCACAACATTCTGCTGTAAGCATGTAAGAAATACTGCTGCTGCACATATAACATATCTGAATAACCCCCATATAGCATATATGAATCACCCCATAGCAGATCTATACAGGTGGAGCTGGGGAAGGTGGAGGGTTTCTGAAGTGCGCTGCCAACTGCTACAGCAAACAAAAGCCAGGTATTTGAATATTGAGCAGCGAGCTCATTGGCTCATCAGTATACAGGAGAGAACCAATCAGCTGCCATGTGACAATGATGTCACCAGGTCAGATTGAGCTAGACCTATCGAACTACTCCATCTAGAGTTTCATGTCAGAACTCTGTATTTCTTGTGAACTTTCTATTTATCAAAGAATTCTGAAAAAAAAAAAAATGTGTGACCGTTTCTACAAAAATAGTAAGCAGCAAAACTGTTTTTTACATTGATTTCTTGAGCACCAAATCTGAATTATTATTTTAAAATGATTTCTGAAGTATCACGACAGTGAAGACTAGAGTAATTGGTGAAAATTCAGCTTTTAAAGTATTTTAAAGTAGAAAGCAGTTATTTTCAGTTGTGGTAATTGTGGTCATATATATGAATGCAGCCTTGAGAATTAGCAGACTTTCAAAAATATGAAATATTAGTTAAATATTAGTTAATATTAGTAAAACATAATTCATATTGATATTACAAATTTTGATATAATTTAACATAGACTTAAAGGGTTAGTTCACCCAAAGTTTCTGTCATTAATTACTCACCCTTGTGTTGTTCCAAACCCGTAAGACCTTTGTTCACTTCGGAACACAATTTAAGATATTTTTGATTAAATCTGAGGGCTCTCTGACCCTCCCATAGACAGCAAGGTAACTACCACGTTCAAGGTCCAGAAAAGTACCAAGATGATCGACAAAGTAGTCCGTGTGACATCAGTGGTTCAACTGTAAAGTTACGAAGCTACGAGAATACTTTTTTTGTGCAAAGAAAGCAAAAATAATGACTCATACGCTAAATAACGTGGCGGCGCCACACGCTCGCTTCATGATACTGTCGTGAACGTGCATCCACAAGTGACGCAGTAGAGACGAAAATGTGGAATGAAGTCGTTATTTTTGTTTTCTTTGCTCAAAAAAGTATTCTCGTACCTTCGTAACTTTACAGTTGAACCACTGATGTCACACGGACTACTTTGTCGATCATCTTGGTTAATGAGTTAATGAGTGGATGCATCTGCTACCAATCATCTGTCCTCTCAGTCAACACACTACACATTTGGCAGCCTGAGCTGAGGTGGGAGGGAGTTTCTTTCAGTAAGCACATCCTTCCATATATCCTCTGCTCTTTTTTATCCTATTACTCATGTCTGTCATTCAGAAAGTCAGTCCTCAATCTCTATTACACATCTGCAAGCATGCAGCTGACACACATCAGACGTGATGAGGTGCATCTGTTTCAGAAGACGAACCTATAAAGTCTTTAAAGCAGAGGCAGTGTAGAATCCATAAATGGAAGAAATCCAAATGAGGAATGAAGGTACATTCACGTTAATATTAATTAAATAACCAGAGTCGCCAAATCTAGGTTTGACCAGCTGACCATCTAAAAAAATCCAAGGGATTTTTTGACAAACAAGAAAAAAGTGCATTTAGGAATCAGTGTGGCCAAACCCTCAAAGGTACATTTTTACAGTGTGCATATTAATACTTTAAGAGTACACACAGTATTAGTACCTTGAGGAGTATATATGATACCTTTAGGGGTATGTACGGTACAAACATGTACCTCTGAGTATACCACCCCAGATATAATGTTTGCATGCACTCTTTTTTTGTCAATCCAAATTAATCTAATCCAAATTTAAATTTCTGTAAATTCTGTTATATGTACCCTAAAGCTACACATTTAAGCTATCATTGCTCTGTTATTTTTCAATCTGATTGAGAAAGCAGCCTGATTCAAGGGTTTACATGGCTAAAATTTTTGTTAGTGTTGTCTCTTGACAGCAAGAAGGTTCCAGGATCGGGTCCTGGAGGCCATTCTGTGTGGAGTTTGCACGTTCTCCAATGTTGCCGTGGTTCTCCTTCTGGTGCTCTGGTTTCCCCACAATTCCAAGACTTTGAATTGCCTGTAGGTATGAGTAAGAGTGTGAATATTTATGTCTGTGTGTGTTATCCCTGTTACCCCTTTTCCACCAAGGCAGTTTAAGTGCTGGTTCGGAGCCAGGGCCTAGTTTCAAATAGGTTCTTTGTCTTTCGACACACAAAGCACCAGCTCCGAACAAGGAAAAGTGGTTCGTAAGTAGCACCATAACATTGCTTGTCTGGAAGTAAGAACTGCATGTGTCAGGGGCAGGGGTTACCGTGACCAACAAGATGAACAGAAACTTTTGACCACCATTTTTGAAATAGCAGCTAAACACGAACACGTTGAATTCGCCGTGTTTGGATGCTGATGTAAATTCGTACAGCCATGAACATCAATAGCAATGCAACGTCCACCATTGTTGATTGTGTGTTTAAGCTTGTTCAGGCTGCATCAGCGCTGCACGGACCGGTCGGTGTGCCGCGGGAGTGATTGGAAAGCAGACTCTCTTTATGCTTTTGGATCGCTTTCGCTGTGCTTTGGTGTCGTGCGCCGATCGGTCTGCATGGCGCTGATGCATCTCGTACAAGCTTGTTGTGTATGGCGCTGCCACGCTAGCGTTACTGGGAAAGATAAGACTATTCAGTGACGTAAGACCTGGCTCTGTGGTGGCTCTCTAGCCCGTGGAAAGGCAAACAGGTTCTTAGAAGGCTCGCCAGTTGAACCAACTCTGAACCGGCAATAGCACTGGCTCTGAACTAGCACCCGGTTCATGCTGGTGGATTGGATGGACTGGCTGGTTCCTGGGACAGGCATCCCCATCACCCAATACAGAACTGCTTGTTCTGTGTACACATATGGCTGGACTGAGTTTAGTCAGTTTGATGGAGGTGATTCCCAATTAGAATCTGTCTGATTGAGCCATCATTCTGATTATAAAGAGTGTGACGAGTGGGGGCGGGGCCGAGAGCCGTGGGAACGGAGCGAGGCCGGTGGAGTAATTGATAATGAGCAACACCTGCACCACTCACCAGTCTCGAGTCTCCCGGAGGAGCTCCGGAAGGATAAAAGGGAGGAGTGACGACAGTGTCGGACGAGAGAGAACCAGGCCTGGATTTTATTTTGCAGTCGTCCGCGAGGGGCTGCCGCTTTACTTTCATTTTGTGTTTGTTTATTTTATTAAAATCTTTAAATGTTCGCTGGTTCCCGCCTCCTTCTTCCCGAACTACGAACTTTGTTACAAAGAGATTATTGGGTTGCATGTAAACAAAGCTTGTGTGAACACCACTGTGTACAGGCACTATTAAGAGACTAGAGGTTTCACAGGCACATTTATTGGTCAAAATGATGTGACTGTGAGTTAAAGTAATCCATACATCTCTTCAAATCAATCCACTACCTTTATGCCCAGACCTTCACTATTGTGCAAAATCCTCTTGCTCTCACACACAGGAGACACTGAAGTGGCACAATGGCTTTACAGAAATCACCGACTGACTCCCTGTCACTAGTCCTGCATTAGCACCTGAGTGATTTCAATTCACCTCAGGTGTTTGACTGAATGAATGGATCTGTCTGTGTAAGCCTGAGCCTGCGGTTGAACTTTTATGTCTTCCTGTACGTGTTCATGCTGGTGATACTGGTATCCACAGAACATCAAAGTCCCAATAAGGCCTACGACGCAAGCTTGCACACACAGTGGTGTTGGGTTAATGCCGTGTTAGACCACAGTACCACACTAGAGCTCAGGATAAAAACCTTTACACGCACACATGACTATACAATTACACAAACGCAACAAAAGCTAAATGAGAAGCTTTAAGAAATGGTCTACATGTCTGTGAAATCAGAACCAACACGACAATGATACAAAACCTGTCCCTTATTAATTATATTTATAAATCCCTAACGGATAAACCTGAAATTTAGTTCATTTCAGATTAAGCTATTCAATTCAAATAAATGAATGCATTAAAGAAAGTCTTCCATTCTCAAGACAACTCAAAACCGTCAACATATTTGATGAAATCTGCATTTCTGAGTCCAAGAATTATAGGCCAAGGAAGGATCTGAAGGTTGAAGGAGAATGTCTGTAAAATCGGAGAAAGGTCGAGTCATTTCAGTTGTTGGCAGCCGCTCTGGTGGCTGAGGTGGACAAATGGAAACTGCATTCAGAACAACTGGATTTGACCACCTGGGCTGTTGGATTAGATACAATGTGTGCAGTCAGGCCCTCTTAAAAATGATAAACTCAGATTTCACAGATCTTCTGGTCTCTGATAAATGTACTGCATTTCATTTGAGCTGGGAACAAACTGTCCAAGTGAAACAGAATATTCAATGAGAAAACAATGACTGGACCTTGAAAAGCAGGCATTCCATAACAGAATGGAATCAGACTTGAATGTGACGTTCCAGTGAAGTTCCCGTCCAGAAACTT